TTCAATGGCATTAGAACATATATGAACAGATGCTCTCAAGTCCATAACCTAGTACATGGTTAGAGTTGGGAACGAGATGGGTTAGAGAACAAAATATATGATGACAATAGAAGTATGGAGGATGCAAATGATATATGATGACAATAGAAGTATGGATTGATGTTAGCTAAAGGAGGGTGACTTTCCAAAGTTGGCTGAAAGCCAACCTAGGAAAAATAATTATTTTTATGGAATTGGAGGAGCTCCACTAGGGGTGCAAATGAGTCAAGCCAGCTCGGACTCCACTTAGTAACAGGTAGAGTTGAGTTTATCGAGCTCGACGGCTTATTGAGCTCGAGCTCGAACAGGACGCTGCTCGACTCGACATCTCGTTGAGCAGCTCGACTGTGGAGCTCGCGGGCAGCAAGTCCAAAATGCAAGCTGGAATTCCAAAAAGCGAGCGGGAAATCAAAATTTCTAAACAATGAAGCACTCGACAGCGAATGATCTTGAGACGATGACGACGGACGCCACTACGAGCTCGGGACGATGACGGTCAACGGTTACGCTCGGGACGACGACGGACAAGGGCTCGATGGTTACGCTCATGAAGACGAGCTCCGGATGATGGATCTCGAAGGCGGAGCTCAGGAAGACAACAGCTGAGCTCAGGATGACGGTTCTAGACAACGGACATGCTCGACGAGCTCGACAATGGAGCTCGACAAGTGGCTCAACATGAAGTTGAGTCGAGCTCGAGATTGGATTTTGAGCTCGACTCGAATATTAGCTCGAGCTCGAGCTCGACTCGAACACCTCCTGGCTCGAGCTCGACTTGACTCGTTTGCACCCCTAAGCTCGACCAAGTTGGGAGTATTGCATAACTTAGGTCAATCAGGTGTTGATATGTGGTGGAATGGATAATCAAGTGAGCATATATATAAATTTACTTATGGAGATGGAAATGGAAGATGGAGTACTAAGATTGAATGGAGTGGAAAATGGAGTGTGGAGTGTAGTCACGAAAAAATCTCAAGCCACCACTAGAAACTAGAAGCTTCCAAGGATGTCAACCTAGCTACCACCTTGTGGTGGAAGGACCATCCAATATAAATCGTGGAAGAAGGATTTGTATACATAATTAAGGAACTTCATTATAAAATTTATCACCATGAAAATCATATTGTGATGGCATGGACACCATCAAGCCTCCATGTGTTCATCCATCATAAAGTAGAGGGGGAGAAGAACTTGATTGGGGATAAAAATACAATCGAATTAAGCACTTTCTTTCATTCATTTCAATCTTACTTTCTCCATATATGGATGTTCAAAATTGCAAGGAAATACAACATTAAACTTAAAATAAGTAGACGGTCCAATGTTAAGATTTGGAGGGATAAGCAGAACTGCAGAAGTTCCATGGGTGGAAATTTTCGTCGGCAGGAAATCACAGGCACATGTTTTGTGGGTGGGAATTTCCGCTGACAGGAAATCGAGGGCAGGAAGTTTCACGGGCTAGAAGTTTTACGTGCGGGAAGTTTTGTAATCGACCATTGAGGTTCGCGAGCCGGCTCGAACTCATTTACAGTGGAACGAGCTCGAGCTTGCTTTTTGACTGATGAGTTGAGCTTGATAACGCTAAAACTCAACTCTTTTACACCCCTACATATGACAAATAGGATTGGATCTCGGATGTGCCTTGTATGGTACATTGCCTAGAGAGGCTCATTTGTACCTAATCGCAAGGAAAAATCAACTACATGCCAAACACATGAACTTTTCAACCACATTTCATGCTCATTGCTTCCCCATGACTTGTATGTGGCTGGCCTCATATAGATGATCAATCAACTACTATTAATCACCAGTACCTTATTTAAGAAATTTCAATTTTACAACCATTAAAATAATTATCAAAATAAAAAAGAATAACAAAAGATTTCACTTATTATGTTGCATCATGCCTCTGGTATTCTTGATGTCCCAAACTTTAATCACCCTTGATTTATTAATTGAAGAATGAGCGCATGATCTTCCAATTCAACCCTTTATAATAGCCCTTCGTATTTGCTTGAAGTATCATGCATCATTGTATATTTAAGAATATTATAAAAACAAGAAAAATATTAACATTATCAATTTTTTGTGCCTTGATATAATAGATAATGGTAGTGATTTTCTATAAGAGTATGGTAGATGGCACTATATACTAGAAGAGTGTAATAAGGGTGGACGTGAAATGGATGGATTTCAAATTTATATTAAGAAATAAAAAATTATCAATTTTGTACTCCTCACCAAAGTACCATTAGAATTAATTAGAGGATAAAATGATGCTTTGTAAACTTAATAATTACAAAGATGATAATCCGACCATAAGATTACTTTGTCAATGCATGTTTAATTTATAAGATTTTTTAGATATTTTTTTATGTAGAATACGGAAAAAAAGTTAACGCAGTTAAATTTTCTGTAAAATATTTAGAATTGTCTTATTTGCTAAGCACTACTTCTCAAAATGAATGCATGTAACATTAGAGCCCTACATGGGGTTCTGGTTGGGTACCCATTGGGTAACCACGCTCTGCGCTGGTGAGCTTTGCCCACCCACATCCACCTATGGTGACTTTTGGGATGTCATACCCACCCACACCCACCCACTTTCCACGCTTCTTGAATGCAATCTGCCACATATTAATGGCCTTGAGGTTTTATGGCATTTTTTATGACTGCAAACTTTCAAGCCACATATCAAAATTTATCATGGTCGCGACGCTTGGGTAACCACGCTCTGAGCTGGTGAGCTTGAGCTGGTGAGCTTTGCCCACCCACATCCCTCTATGGTGACTTTTGGGATGTCATACCCACCCACACCCACCCACTTTCCACGCTTCTTGAATGCAATCTGCCACATATTAATGGCCTTGAGGTTTTATGGCATTTTTTATGACTGCAAACTTTCAAGCCACATATCAAAATTTATCATAGTCATGACGTGATTCGGTGTTGCGCACTGCGTAATAAGGATTAATATAATATACTGCATGCATATGATGATTAGTAATGTAAATCGGTTTGTCAGTTGATATTGAGTACCCACCCATACCCACTCACGATGCCATGGGCGTACCCTACCCACCTATGCCCATTGGGTATGGGTGGGTACATGGTGGGTGTGGGTATGGGTGCCCAATGCACGGCTCTGATAACATTAAAATAAATAATAATAATAATTACATAAAAAAAGAGCTTGGTCCACTGCCAATTCATTTAACCATTATAAATGTATTTTTAATTTATTAGATATAATTACTAAGTTGTTGTGAATAGTTTATGTGATGAGATTAAATACAGAGGCAAAAAAGTTTTAACACTCTGCTCCATTCCGCCACCCACCCCCTCTCCACAACAACTCTAACCCCAGTTCCACCACCACCTTACCTCACCCCTGCCTTTTCAACAAGGAAAGCGTCGTCCATTTCTCTAAAGAGGAAATCGTTCAAGTACTCCAAAATAAGAGACCTTATTATAAAGTTAGGTCTTCCCTACATTGGTAAGAGAGCTCTAAATACATTGGCGGGCTAGATCTTTTGTCTATTGCTTCTCTATCTCATGCTTGTAGATACTCTCAATTATCGAGATTTTTTTTGTGAGCCCCTTGAGTAAAAGAAGCTAAACTATTAAACATCGAGAAGCATTTTGGTGTAATTGTTAGAAGTTCATTAAGCAACTTCACAATTAAGCATGCTCATCCCGAAAAAATTCTGAGATGAGTGACATTTTGGGAAGTTACACCAACATGATAAAATTGTGAAGCTCTTAGACCAAGGCGGACAATATCTCTATAGTTAAGAGTTTAGACTACTACAAATGGTATCATAGCAATACACTAGCCGAAAGATGAGAACTAAGTGTCATACAAGACAAAGTGCTATGTGGCGGGAGTCATCATTTGAACTTGTAGGGGCCACCCCTAGAATCATATATGCATGGTAGATGATTATGGGATAAAGATAATGTTAAGGATATCAGTTACTTTAGTGGGAGAGATTATGAAACCCCTTAAGTAAAAGAAGTTAAACTCTTAAACATTGAGGTTTCTTTTGGTGTAATGATCAAAGTTTTATTAAGAATCTCCTCAGTTAAGCGTGCTTATCCTAGAGAAATCATGGGATGATTGACCTCCTCAGAAGTTACATCAATAGGACAAAACCATGAGGCCCTTAAGCAAATGCGGACAATATCTCGATAATTAAGAATTTTGAGACTTAGATTTCGTTTGGGACGGCTTTTTTATTGTTTCCTGGAGCAACTTTTTAGTATAAAAAGTAACATTTTTGTACTAAAAAGCAGCTTCAAAAATGTTATCAGTTTGGGACGACTTCACATTTGCGGTAAAAAAGCATATACTATTTTTTATTGTTTAATAAAACATCTTTCTAATATAAAAATTTATATTAAAAACCAGTTTTTTGAAGCAAACAAAAAAAAATCGTCTGATACGAAGCCTTAAAATAATCAAACAAATAAATACAAATATGAATATTTCTACTCAAATTTCTTTTTGATTAGATCAAACTATGCTTATTTGACTTGGTTCAATTTTGTGCAGCTATGATAGGATTATGGATAGCTACTAAAATAATTTTTAAAAATTTTGAATACTATGGAGGTGATTTTTTTACTGTAATTTTTCTTGAAAATTTGAAACTTAATAGGGTTGATTTTGCAAATCTATCATTTGCTCTATGTTTTCAAGAATTGAGGTCCGTACATCTGAAAATATTTTAAAGGAATTTTCAATTTACTGCTGCTACTTGAATGCTTTTTTAAATAATAATAAGATTGGAAAAAAATTATATCCGATCAAAATAAAATTTAAAATCATTTCATTTATATTAAATAAATAAAATCAAAATATCATATAAAATATGAATTGGACTATTTTAAAGCCAATTGATACTTTTACATGTATTTTAAAAATAAGTATCCTCATATACATTAAATATGAATTTAATAATAAAATAATACGCAAATGTGAAGTCGCTCACCACCTCCGGCCGCCAGCTCTGTTCATCTCCCTCTCATGCGATATGTTACTCCGCCGGCGCTTCCTACCATAAAGCGTTTCTTCTCCTTCAGCTCGTGCTCGTTGACGTTGTTCTTTATTGTCTCCTCCTCCGTCGTTTCGTCCGCATATCAGAGCATTCGCCTGTTGTCCAAGTCTCTCCTTTTCTCGTTGAGGCTTTGATATCCTTTTTAAAGCGATCTTTCTTAGAGGAAATCGGCGGAGAGACTGACGAGGAGTGTGCGAACGAGATGATAAGGAGTAGGGGAAACGGCGGTGGCGGCGACAAGAGACTGCCTGCAAGATGGATCTTGTTGCTTTGCCTTGGGTGTTTCGGCCTAGGAATGCTGTTCACGAATCGGTGGGTTATGACTGCTTATTCAAGGAAATTTTGGGATGTCAGCGCAGGAAATTTTCGAAATTTTCGTAGTGATTACCTAGTTTGGCTTCCATTGGAGTAATAGTGCTGGGGATTTAATCCATATTGCTGTCAATTTTTGTTTTGTTTTTTCCTTTATATGAGCAAATTCTTGTTTCGAGTTATGTTCTGTAATTTGAACTTTTGGGTTTGGTAGGTTTTGGTCTGTCCCAGATTCAAGTGGGGAAATCATCTCGCAGCGGCGGCAGGAGCAGGAACTTCAGGTCGTCTCGGAAGACTGCATAACCAAAAGGGTCAGCATGTCCATACGATGACCTTGCAATACCTTCGGATTGAGTTTTCTTTTCTTTAACTGTGTTTTTGTATGTCAATAGAAGCTTGGCCAAGATAAGGATGTAATGGGAGAAGTCACGAGGACCCATGAAGCCATACAGTGAGTAGAAGATTTTCTTGTTATTGATTGTTATTTGCTTTTTATAGGCTTTTGTTGATTTTTAGCTTTGGGTTTATTTGGTATCTCATCTATCTAAATTTGATTGTTGCCAGATCTTTGGATAAAACAATATCAACACTCCAGATGGAGCTGACTGCAGCAAGGAGCTCACATGACCTAACTGGTTCGGATGGTTCTCCAAGCATTAAAACTTCCAGTCAGCAGAGAAAGAAGGCTTTCATAGTCATGGGGATTAATACAGCATTTAGCAGCAGGAAGAGGCGGGACTCAGTTAGAGAGACCTGGATGCCTCAAGGTACTCTTTTGAATCCTTTTTGTCAAATTAAGATTTTTCACTGACTATGATCTTCATATCTTTATCGTAATCATTATTTTTAAGCCGAAAGAAGCTATTAAAAAGTGAGCACAATTAGTTTTACAATCGCAACCAATTTGTCCTCTTTTTTAAATTATTTTTGGTTTTCTCTTGAAAGCATTAGTAGTAAAAGATGCATCCTTGATGGATCTTATGCCTGATAGATATGCTTACTGTATTTTAGTGAAATGAAGGATGCATTCTATATCTATTTTGTAACCTCCAGTCGTATACTATTGCAGAATTTATGTGGCTTTTGCTTCATAACATATTAGCATGATTGTGCATTGATATTATCTCATAAAACTTCAAAGAACCGTGCAAAATTGGTTGCTTTTTGGTATTAAGAAAGCTTTTTACAGCTTGAAAGTTTTACTTTGTGTCCTGAAAATGCTACTGATTTAATTTTTTTAAGAATAAGCGCTATCACAATAGTTTTGTTTATTTTAGTTTTGTTGGATATTAGTCCAGATTTTAGGTTGTTTCTTTGTACTTTTTTAGGTTTCTTTAGTTTGTGTTGCCTTTTGGTATAGCCTGTTATGTCTATAAATAATTGTAATAGGTTGTAATAGTGACATGCCATAATACACAAGTTCTGTTCACATTTCCTCCATCTAATTCCCCCTCTCTTCAAGAAGCTGCAGAAGAGCTTCTCTTCCTCGCCGAAAGATCCTACAAGTTATTTTACCAAGACAACCAATGATGATATGCTAGAATTGTTAAACCTAAAAGCTGGTATGCTATTTAAGAGTATTTCGTTTGAACTGTTTGACCTACATGTTGGGCTTGTGTAGTAATTTTCTATCTGCGTAGTTGTGCCCACTAAAGTTAAGTTGTCTTTGGAATGTTGGGTTATTTTGGTCTTGTCAAACTAAACAACCCTGCATCTTTTTAATTCCAAAGGTTTTATGTTTATACAATTGAATGTGAAGTACCTGAAAGACACTCACAACTCACAAGTCATGACCAAACAAAAAATTTTCCATCTAGTTTCTAACTCTGTAAGAAAAGGCATTTGAGTTATTTACATTCAAATAGAAGTAGGAGGACATGGAAATTCTCTGTAGCCACTTTCCTAATGGTTCATTGCTTGGTAGTTGATACCAGTTCGTTTTCTCTAGTGGAGAGGATGGATCTAAGAGAGAATAAACTTGCTAATTTTTCTTCCTCCACTCTTTTTGCCACGCCACTACATTATCAACTGGTGATGCCTTTGATATATGAGGAAGAAGTACATGACTTTCTTTTCAAAGCTGTAGACTTAGTAGCTGCGTATTTTTTATTTTACCTGAATATAAAGGTGATGTTATCTAGTGACGTTTTTGAATATTTATTGCTTTTTTATGTAGGTCAACATAGCACTTCTGTAGGATGCTCAAAGTTTTTAATTTTTATGTCCATTTGTTCTTTTGTTTAAAAAAAAAGACCATCCTACTACATTAATATAGATGGATTCATTCAAGATTTTGTCACTCTATACATTACACTTTGTCACATATTATATGCACACATTTTAAGCCATTGATTCTTATGTATTTCACATTAAGTCCAAATATCTTGCCTTTAGGATTAGAGAACCAAGTAAATAAGATGGACCGTTTTTTTTTTTCCTTCTCTTATTTCAGCAATTTTCTTTAACAGTTTTTATTTGAATAGAATGAAAATTATTTTGTAGTTTGCATGACTTACATTCTATAAGATTGGCCATCATTCATTGTAATAAATCTTACATTTTGGAATTTGGTGTCAACTTAGGTGAGAAGCTTCAGCAACTAGAGCGCGAGAAGGGCATTGTCATTCGTTTTATGATTGGTCATAGGTATTTCATTCTGATTGCTCTATTTAAACACCTGTTCATGCAAATCCATAAGATTAGTTATATAGCATCAACGTTGTACTTGGCTGCTGATACTGTCCAATAAATTCTGACCTTTATTTTATTTTTTATTGAAATAAATTTCAAGACTAAATATTGATAGTCACATTTGTATTAAGATAAAGTATACAGTCTACACCTAATAATATGCACTCAATAACACATTTTCATAATCTGATTAATCAAAAATGTTCCTGCAATTTTGTTATTTCATTTTATCATCTGATCAAGCTTATTTCCCAAATTTCTTTGAGAATTATATATTTTTTGTGTTTCCTTGATGTTTCTCTTGAACTAATTTCTTATTTTTAAGGGATATCCAGTTTGTTAGTTTTAGAGGGATTTACATAAATACCACAAAATTCTGATGTATTTATATATCTAGCATCTAAATCATTATATTTATTTATATAACACTCAAATCTCTATATCAGATAAAAAATATCACTAATATTAATTTATTTAAAGTAAAACACATCTTTTCAATATGATTTAGACACTAAAATGATATGAGTAAATATATTTATTTAGTTGTTATATATGTAAATGCATGAAATGTTGTGGTATGTGTGTAAATCCTCTTGGTTTTTAAGGCAACACGACAAGATAGCTGGTCCAACCCTTGATTGATTAAAGGGCGTAGTTTTTTTTTTTTCCTGAAATTTCTTTGGATAAATTCAAGCAAGTTGCAGGTGTTCCCTCCCTCTCTGTATTTGTGTGAGAGCTATCCTTTTTCTCTTATGAGGGAGAGAGTTGTTGCTCAATTTTTATGTGAGAAAATTGAGAGAGAGAGCCCTCCTTCATCTAAGAGGGAAAGATTTCTAGTTAAGCCTCGGATACGTTTCCTATCCATGAAAAATGAGAGTACCTTTTGCCTTTTGTTGTGCCTGGATAGAAGGAAGCATTAGAGAGAGTTTTTTTTTTTCCCTTGAGTTATGTTCTATTGCATGAAAGTATTTGAGAGAATCTAAAACTTCTTTTATCTTTTTCCTCTTATTTTATATGTTAGATAGAGGTGTGAGTGCATTTCCTTTTTTTTTAAACAGTTGTACATATAATGTGAGGACTTGATAGAGGATGAGAGTTTTTTTATCTTTTTTTTTTCTTTGTTTTATATGAATAAAAATGGATAATGAATTGACTAAAATGGCGTAAGGTGAGTGTGATGAAATTTATTTTATTTAGTATTTTATTATATGTATATGAATACATGTTTTAAAATATATTAAAAGGACAATACGTGATTAAAAGGAAATAAGTTTCAAAGTTGATGACATATCGAGATAAAATGCTTGATTTGGTCCTCCATCATACACATTAACGCAATATGCAAGCAAATAGATTGACCTACGAGATGTGGGATACAGTTATGTGAGTGATCGATATAAAAAAAAAAGAGATCAACAAATACAGCCCCAACAAGTGTGTTGAATAATGAGAGAACCGTACATGTTAGCGTTGACATTCTTATCTCTAAGAAGATACATGCTAATAACAATCCAATATATTCAATGATCACACAACCATACAAATATCAATAAATAATGCAATGATCATACAATCATGCAATAATTATTTAATAATGTAATGATCACACAAGCATGCAACAATCATTTAATCATACAATGATCACACAATCATGCAATAATCAACTAATCATGTTATGATCTTACAATCATACAACAACAAATCATTCATACAATGATCACAAAATATACAATAATCATCTAATCATACAATTAGCACACAATTATGCAACATCACACCATGATTGTGTGATCATTATATGATTAGTTGATTGTTGTATAATTGTGTTAGATGATTGTTACATGATTGTATGATTATGATATGATTAGATGATTATTGCATGATTGTGTGATTATTGCATGATTGATTAATTGTATGTATGATTGTGTGATCATTGCATGATTTGTTGGTTATCGTATGGTTGTCTGATTATTAAGCTTCTTGGTTTATTGTTGGCTTATACATTCATAGAGATAAGGATGTCAACATTAACAGTTTAACACGTACGGTTCTCTCATTGTTCATCATATATGTTATGGTTGTGTTTATTGACCACCTTTTTTATGTCGATCACTCACATAATAGTACTACACATCTCATATTTGCTTGTATATTGCGTCATTGTGTCTGATGGAGGATCAAATCGCGCATTTTACCTTGATTCTTCATTATCTTTAGAATTTATTTCATTTGATCGCATATTATTCTTTTATTATGTTTAAAATATATGTGATCTGCCGACGTCGATTTGATGTGTATTGTACGTATATGTGAGCATCCATCGCACATGTTTGTTCCATACATAAAGTTTTTTTTTATTCGGGCCTAATTATACGAAATGGAGTGCGCAAGGGTGTCTGGATCGCAGAGACCTTCCAAATGAGCTCATCCATGTCTGGATCGGGTTTCATTTGAGTTGTGTCGAGAGTGTTGAATAAATTTTATCATATTATTTAAATAGTAATTTAATCATTATTTAAATGTTAATTTAAATATGATTTAAATAATTGTAAACAATATTCAAATAATCATTTGAGTATTATTTAAATAATTGTAAGCATTTTTTACATGATCGTTTGAGTATTAATTAAATCGTTATTTAAATTAATATTTAAATATTGTTCAAATAATTATTTAGATTATTCATATATATGTAATAAAATATTACAACAACAACACTTCACTTAAATTAAATCCTTACTAATCCTATCTCTTTGTTTGGCTAACTTATACATATATCTTTCTCCCTCTTTAGTATCTAATCTATTATATAAATCACTAAAAGCTAATGCCTTTGCATCACACTCATCTTAGTCTATTTTAATCTCTTCATTCTCTCTCTTCATTCTCTCTCTTCATTCATATAAGAAAAAGAAGAAAAGACAAAAAAAACTCTCATCACTCTCTCAAGTCCCTACATTATACGTACAACTATCTTAAAAAAAAAAAGATATGCTCTCACACATTTATTTAACATATAATATGAGAGGAAAAAGACAAGAAATTTTGGATTCTCTCAAACACTCTTATGCAAAAAAACACACAATAAATAAAAACTCTCCATAATGTTTCTTTCTGTCCGTGTACAACAAAAGGCAAAATGTACTCTCTCATTTCAATGGATTGGGCACGCCTTCAAGGCTTAAACAAGATTTTTTCCCTCCCAGGTGAAGGATCTCTCTCTCTCTCTCTCTCTTGATTTTCTCATAGGAAAAATTGAGCAGCAACTCTCATAAAAGAAAAAGGACAGTTCTCACACAGATATAGAGACATACTACTGATTCCTAGGACAAAAGCGGCTATACTCTCAGGTTACAGTGCGGAGGATTCAAACAGTCGAACCCCTCTCCTCTCCATCTCTCGATTTCAGATATAGCGGTAAGTCTTTCCTCCCGGACTCCCTCTCCAATCCTCTTACAAGTACGACCCATTAGCCCCCCTCTCACAATGCCTGTTCACTCCACGCTACAGACCCTGACGCCGTCCTCCGCCTACCGACTTCACGTCGCCAGCCGTCCGACTCCAGCCCTCCACTGGTCAAATAACTTTTTTTTTTTTGTGAGCTTTTTTGTTTGTGCGTGTATTTGGTTTTGCATTAGATTGACATACTAATTATGGTGCATGTATATAGCGTTGGATCTCATCATCAGATTGACCTGGTTGAGTCTCCTTAGTTTCTGCGTGTGCATGTAGTCCGTTGTTTTTGGGTGCCTACATGGTGAGAACCAACCTCATGTTTCTAAACCTGGAATTTTTAATATCAATAAACCCAGATTTTTAAAATCGGGTCAATCTAAGTAGATTTGATTCTGTACACCCATATTTGCAACACATTTCAACATCATTACCCTGCAGAAAATCTGATGATGAGATCCAATCCTGTAGAGACCAACTAAGGAAAACAACGTCCTTGTACTCAACTCATAAACTATAGTTAATTGCAGCTGAAGTGGATCTTTTAAGTAACCCTTCCAATAATTACAGTTTATTTCAAGCAACAAATCATTGGAAATTGCATTTGTAAAGTTAATTTTAATAATTCAGTTTGAAGTTGTTAGCTTGACTTCTTTCTAGCCTATTCAATTCCAAGTCCTGTTTATCTTCACTTCACTTTATGCAGTTGTTATTTCTTGTATTTTACTACTGTTGTTGTCGATATTTTCATCACATTTTATATCCACTACTTGGATGTCAAAATTGACATTGAATTTTCTTGCTCAGTGCAACATCAAACAGCATTCTAGACAGAGCAATAGATTCAGAAGAAGAGCTACATAACGACTTTATTAGGCTTGTAAGGATTATTCTTTACACTATCCACATTGGTTGAATTCCATTATTTCCTCACTAACAACTGCTTTGTACACATTATTAGGATCATGTTGAAGGATATCATGAATTATCAGCAAAGACAAAGATATTCTTTTCTACAGCTGTTGCTAAATGGGATGCTGAATTTTATGTTAAGGTGGATGATGATGTTCATGTCAATTTAGGTACAAATTAAGATTTAATTCATTTTAAAAATTCATTAAAACTCTGGTAAATATTCTGTTAGGCCGGCTCCTCCTGAGCCAGCTGATCCGGTCCCTAGTGGACCGGTTTTGATGTATAGCTGGCGGCCCAAATTGGGCAGAATCAGGGAAGAGAGAGAGGGAGGGGCAGAAGCTCCTAGGGGCCCACTTGTTAATTAAATTTGATTTGGAAGAAATTTTTGAATTAGGGGGGGTGATTAAGAAATTTGTAATTGTCCTTTGTCTTTAATTAGTTGCTTTTGGGGAAGGGTTAGGGTCATGCATGATTTGAATTTTCTTGGAAGTTCTTTGGCGTCTTGGGTTCTAGATCTCCTTATCTAGAGATTTGGGAGAGACGATCTCCTCTCGAATTGAGGATCCCTTGTATCACGTTCTAGGGTTTGTTTGCTTTGATTCCCTTATTGAAATCCACTGTTTTGGGGCTGTTTTCTCCCAAATTTTGTTTATTTCTTGCTGTTTTTACCAATTAATGATAGGCTTGCTTGCAAACTCAAGCATTTCCCTTAGGGTTACTTGCGAACTCAAGTATTTCCTATCATATTCTTCCCCTTATATTTAGGCATGTCTGTATTCTTTGAAATTCATTGTGGTAATTACTATCCTTCACTGACTTCTTAGGTATGCTGGCTGCAACTCTTGCACATCATAGGTCAAAGCCCAGAATTTACATAGGATGCATGAAATCTGGTCCAGTTCTCACTAACAAGTAAATCTTCCTTCTCTTCTCATTTATGCCATATTTTACTATAATTTTTACCAGTTCTCTTACTAGGTTGTACACTACGAGAGTTATTTACTTCCCAATCACTTTTGTCACTTACACTTTTCCAACTGATTACTTACTTCATAGGAACGTTAAATATCACGAGCCAGAGTTCTGGAAGTTTGGAGAAGAAGGGAACAAGTACTTCCGCCATGCCACTGGCCAAATCTATGCCATCTCAAAAGATCTGGCCACATACATTTCAATCAACCAGTAAGTCTGTATGACTTATAAGATAAATGATAATATTGTGTGTTTTTAATGGTTTGTTTCATTATTTATAGGCCTATACTCCACAAGTTTGCAAATGAAGATGTATCACTTGGTGCATGGTTTATTGGGCTTGAAGTTGAGCATATTGATGAGAGGAACATGTGCTGTGGTACACCACCTGGTATAACTTCTTTTATTCTCTACTTATCTTGTTCTTAGTTGACCAGCCTTATTTTGTACCGTGGTTGGAATTAGAATTTCATAAATAAATTTTTCACATTTCAAATGGAAGCCAATTTGTTGTTTTCACATTGAACCAAAAACCAAACTGATTCTTTGTGTTGATCATTTGCAATCCCTGATTGTTGCGAACTTAGGCAACTTTGAAGTAGTAAAGCTATAGGCAGTGAAGTGAATCATATCAAATTATCAATGCAAACAAATAATTTGCAAGTCATTTTTATACATAATTCAAGTTTCATCTTGTTAAAATTGCACCTTTTGGTTATCATATTATCCTCAGGATCATCCCTACTATCTCAGTTCGACTTTATGAATCATCTGATTGGAAGTACTTGAGTTCGCAAGTAATCTTAAGGGAAATACTTGAGTTCACAAGCAAACCTAGTCAAAATTGGTGAAAACAGTGGGAAATCTTGTTGATTTCAGAGAGAATTCAGCAATATTGATGCTGGAATTTCAGAAAAACTGGAAAGAAACACAAGGAAACGTCTTATATTCAATTCACGAACAAGAAAAGCTATACAAGATACAAGTTTCTTCGATTTGAGAGGAAGAAACAACTCTTCAAATCTCTAGCTATGCTCAGAGCCCAAGAAAAACAAACCTTAGATCTTAAATCTCCTTCAAATTCAAGATGATCTCAAACCCTAGCAAGGAAAACTACTTAAAACAAAAAGAAAATTACATAATCCCTAAACAGACTCTCATTCAAAAAAATCCCTCTCAAGCCCTAATTAATTTACTTCATGGCCTCATGGGCCCCACCAAAGCTGCCCCCCCTCCCCCCCCCCCCCCGCCCCGGTTTGGGCTACCCCTCTCGGACCGGTTTAGGTCTAACATCATCATTCTTATTAATTTCTTTGAAGCATTGTTTGAGGTCTTGGATCTAAATTTTTCAGTGTAAATATTCTTGCACAACTTTTATTAATATTGGCTTTGATTTGTTGATTTATTTTGCAATCCTTCAACAATCGTTCATATTGCTACCTTATAGTCAATGGCTGTTATTCCCACAATTTCTCGTACACAATTATTTCTCAGTTGATTCTTTTGAATTTTATCGTACATCACATTAACATTCTCTTATAATGTCACGCCATTTTGAATTTTTTTAACCCCCCAAAGAAACTCCAAGAGTCTAAGGCAATTGATTATTGCTGTCACTTGGCCTTATTTTTCAGATTGCGAATGGAAAGCCCAAGCAGGGAATGTATGTGTTGCATCGTTTGATTGGAATTGCAGTGGGATCTGCAAGTCAGTGGAGAAGATCCAAGATGTGCATGCAAGATGTGGGGAAGGAGATGGAGCTGTATGGAGTACTTTCTTATAAGCTTACTTCCGCCTTTCAGTTTATATCAGTCTACCATCATCTTTAATGTTTCTTTTGGATGGCTTTTTTACTCCTTCTTAAAGTAGCTTTTTAGTATAAAAATTAAAATTTTTGTACTAAAAAATTATTTTATAAAGCAGTAAGAAAGCCATCCAAACGAAAGCCTAAATCATTTTCTTCTTTGGGGCCGGCCAAGGCCTCAAGCTTAAGCTTTGATTTCTCCATGGTTGAAGATATTTGTATGTTAAAATGATGACAAACTATGATGGTTCTGATGCAGCTACGCAGCTTAGAAATCATCACATTTTTTAGCTATAAAAAGGAGTGGTTGCCAAATTTGTGTACATCAGGTAGATTTTACAAACCATGTAGGCTAGTTCAGTATGTTCTGGTGGGCTTTTGCGGTTCAATTGTTGAGTTTGTTTAATCTCAACTTGTGAACTACTGTGTATGATTTTTAGATCAAAGAAGGTGTATTCTTAGGGTTTTCAGATTGCGAAGTTCTTAGATAATGGATTACAAACTTGAAGAAACAGTGTAATTTCCATTTTTGAATCATTCCAGATCTGAGTTGATACACTTATGTACGTTACCATTCGCAACTGTACTTCTCATTGTCACAGGAAAATTGGCAAAGCGAGTGCCTGTAAAGCTTAGGTTTCGTTTGAGACAATTTTCTTATTATTTAAAAAATAAAAAATTGTTTTAGAAAATAGTAAGAAAGTTATCTCGATCGTTTGGGGTGGCTTTTTTGTTGCCTCTTAAAATAATTTTTTAGTATAAAAATTTTAATTTTTGTATTAGAAAGTTGTTTTAAGAAGCAGGAAGGCTTTGTTTGGAATGGTTTTCTTCTCGCATTTTAAGACAACTTTTTAGTATAAAATTTTTTTAAATTTGGATTTTTTGTAGTTGAAAGCTGTTTTAAAAAACAGTACGAAAGTTGTCCCAAACGAAGCATTAGTATGGGATAATTTTTTATTTTTTTCTAAAGCAGTTTTTTAGTATAAAATTTTTTTTAAATAGCAAAAAAATAATGTTCAAAAGTAGTCCTAAATGATGATTTAATAACTTTTTATAAAGCAAAGTAATAGGCCGTACCAAACGCATCCTAAGAGTACAGCTCCTTAAGGCCTATGAGTATTTTTTGATATTTTATAATTGAAATATGTTTTATTTCAATTATTAATTGTAAAAAGAATGCTTTTTTTTTTCAATATTTTTAGTTTCAAGCAGTGCTTTAAAAATCGGACCGCTTCTGCAAAGAACCGGACTGAACTGGTCAGAACCGCCGTTATTTTTGAACCAGCCGGTTCAAATCTCACAAATTTTAAATATTTTTTTAAATAAATAAATTAATATATATTAAAAAAATTTAATTAAAGTTAAATACATTTTATATGATAAGTACTTCTGTACTCAAAGCATCATGAAACATCTTCACATGACCTCCCCATGTGCTCTCTTTGTTCCAAGAATTTAAATATGCTATATAAACAATAGCAAGAAAGTGTTTCTAAGGGATGTGGGACTAAAGAAAAGAGATGATGAGTGTATGGGTTCATAGCATATCTAATGGATATAAAACCTATTTTAAAACAGATTTTTTAATTAATTATTTTTTATGTGAGTGATAATTATTTATTAGTTAATAATAAAAATTTATTTATTTATACATAATAAAAAATAATTTATCATTAATAATTTTATTTATTTATTAATGATTTTAGATATAAATTTATAAAATAACTTTTATATACAATATATCATAAACATGTAAAATTTATTTAATCATATAATATAAAATAAGAATA